TGCACTGTCTCTGAGTTGTTAGGGCCTCCCTTGCCCCACCTAGTGCTTCCTGATTGTGGAGGATCCGTTTGGTCTATGGAAGGAGATAAAATGGCTTAATCACAACAGGAATGTGATCTTATCATCTCTCTCATTTCTGGTGTATTTTAGAATTGTTGTAGACCATACACAGAGAGGGATAGACTGCTGTCGTTCAAAGTAAAATTTTGGAGAGTCTATTTCAGGATGCACGGAGATTTTGTGACAAGATGCAGTCAGTGAGTTAGTGAATGTCATCATTGAAAGGAGTAAGCCAATCAGTGTTCTTTGAGCAGATCTCGCGAGAGCACAGAACCTGGTGTTATGTACCTGTGGATTCTAGCGTCCCAGGAATGGCAGCCTCACCTTTTATTCTTAGACACGTTGGAGTCTGTGCTGCTTTGCTGACAGAGAATGTGTGGGATGTTTTAGGGTACAGTAATCATTGAAGATGTAGTTGTGGTCTTCACCCAAGAAGAGTGGGATTTGCTGGATCCTCCTCAGAAGAAACTCTACAGAGACGTGATGATGGAAACCTTGAGAAACCTGGCTTCAGTCGGTATGAATGGCATCTTCCTTTTTCTTTTTTTTATTCCTTTAGTGAACAAAAATATTTTACTCATCACCTGTGCTTGCTTATATGGAATGAGCAATGGGAACACCCTGTAAAATAAAAGACATGGTCCCCTTCTGTATAGAGCTCATGCATCCAGGATTCCCCTAATACAAAGCTCTATGCACTAAACTGTGCTTTCATTTCTCTTGTGAATAAAAAAAAGCCTTAGGCCTCTCTAAGTGCCATCAGCATAGCATTGATTTCAGGGGACACTTTCATGCACTGAGAGACTTGTCCTGTGGGTGCCTTTCTGAGAGTTTTATTGGGTTTCTGACAAGTTTGATGGGTCATGATTTTGATGCAAATGAACTCACACCTATCAATCATCAGAGCTTCTAGAGAACTGAGTCCTGTATCTGTGACAAGGAATCTTTCACTGGTCATCAAGGTCTACCTTGTGATGTACATTTCTCCATGAGCCCCATTTTGTTGTGAACTGCCATAGCATTGGTTTCAATGCTGAGGGAACTTGTGTACATTTTTCTAGAGGCGACTAGGAGATTTATACTACACCACCACACTGGGACTCCTGAGCTCCGTGGTAGCTCTACCCATTTGTTTTCTCAGTGAAGCTAAAGAAAAGGCTGAGGAGACTAGAAATAAGAGTCACTGAGGCCCATGTGTCAGGAAGCCCAAGAAATGTAATTGTAGCCCACGAATAAAGGAAATCAGACATCTTCAAAAAGTTCATTATGGCTTGTAAAGCCAATTTCTCAGATACCTGAACTTATTCTGTTGATTTTAGTTGTCCTTTTGCACCTGTGGACACGGAGACTCTTTGCCTTTGTAACGTTACATGTGTGGTATGTCTAATTCCTTTCTACTTAGCTCTCCTAATGACACCTGTGCATGTTACTCTCCCTCTCCATCTTTATAGAAGTATTTCCTAGTACGTTGCATTTTAAGACTTGTCAAAGTGCTGGAATAGCAAAATGGGGCTGAGTCTTTTTTACTACGAACCTGTTTCCTCTAATCATTCCCATTTGATTCTAATTATGGACTTTAACCTGAATGTTTTGATCAGTGGCTGGAAACATTACTGATGGAGAAAAGTTACCCAGTGAACATTTAATCATATGCTATTTGAAGAGTAACACCTGGTTATTATGCATCTCAGGTGCAGTCATGGAATCGCATGGCTGGAAGGATCACCTTGACAACCAGGGGAGACATTTGAGGTGAGTGCGATTCCAACAACAGAAATGAGTGCTTCACAAAATCTCAGGAGGTGTCATAACATCAAACTACACTGAAATGAGGGCGTCCAAATAGTTCATGGAGGACTCCATCATCTTTCAATTGCATCATTCTGTGAACAGTTGTGATTGAGTAATTGTTGGACAAACGAAGGTTGCATATGTATTTCCCAACACTCAGATCTCTTTCCTTTTAAATTGTGAGTCAATTAAGAAACTCTTAGTAGTGTATCCTTCAGATATGGTGAGGCTGCACAGCTGTAAATGTTTGTTGATCTCCACAGTCCTACAACATATCCGGTCTGTGATGTAAGACTCTTGGTATCCATGCAGGTGTTTGGTGTTGCAGGAGTGTGTAGAGCAACACATTCATTTTGGTGGTTTGCTCACTATCCTTGACTGCAGTACCAGTGATTGTTTCTTCACCAAATCAAATTCTATTAAAACAACAGTTTTGATTGCTATGTAAGCTGGACACTTCTCTCATTTATGTTGGAAATTGCTGAATCGTTAAAGTGGTTTGAATCCCTGATGCTGACTGATGTATATGTGTTGTGTTTGCTGAGTCAGTTCTGACTTTTAGCAACTCTTTCCAAGGAGTAGCTATTGTTACATGCCATGAAGTCGTTCTACTTTGTGATTCAAATCTAGGTTGTCACCTAGTGTTAATCCTTCATCAGGGCCCATGTATATATGTATATGTGTATAATCCTGGCTGTAAAATGATGGGTGGGTTCTGTGAAAATTCACGTTAAGAACGTTTCCATAAGTATAATTCAGCGAAATGTGTAAAGCATATTTCACTTGGACACAATGAGCAGGAAGAGTTGCAGATTGATGGAAATGGTAGTCGTCGTCCTAGATGACTCCTGAGACATTTCTGTGAAAAGACATGCATGTTCACTGTGTTTGGGAATACTGTCATGCGACATTTATTTCCAACAAGATAAATACCTTATTTTTCTTGTCTCCTTGATAACAGTGGAGTAGTTTGCAGAAGACAACATTGTTTTACATTTCTACTACATGTTTTTAACAGAACTGGTGCATTCGAGAACCTGGATGAACGTTCTGATGGCAACCAGTGCGGAGAAACCTCCAGCCCGATTCCTGGTCTTTCTGTGCACCAAGTAGATCCCACAGAAGTAGATCCTTTTGAATGCTGTGAGTATGGAGAAGCCTTCCTGGATCATTCCCTAGAGAACAATCGTAGTAGAGCTCACACTGGAAGCAGTACCTGTCAGTGTCCAGACTGTGGAGAAGATTACAGGTGTCCTTCTCATCTGACCATGCCTGTGAGCACTCATGGTAGGAAAAATACCCATAAATGTAAGATATGTGGAAAAGGATTCCTTTTTATGTCGACCCTCAATAATCCTGTCTCTGCAATCACCAGTATTGAAGGGTATGAATTCAGGAAATGGATGGAAATTTTCTGTAGTTTCTCACCAGTTAGGACACCTTTGGAAGGTCATCAATCCAAATGTAAAGAATGTTTTAGAATGCATACTAGTCCTTCATCTCTCATTTTAAACAATAACTCTTATAAGCGAGAGAAGCCTTCTGAATGTAAGAAAGCAATTCCTGAGGCTTCCTCCCTCACTCTACATGTCAGTAGTCACTATGGAGAGATGCCTTATGAATGTAAAGAGTGTGGGAAAACTTTTAGAGAATCCTCAGACCTGACTGCACATAGAATAATCCACAATGGAGAGAGGCCCTATGAATGTAAGGAATGTGGGAAAGCCTTTCCTCGACTCTCAAACCTCACAAGACATAGAATAATCCACAGTGGCGAGAGGCACTATGAGTGTAAAGAATGTGGAAAAGGCTTTATTTCATCCACTGCCCTCACTGCACATATGCGAATTCATAGTGGAGAGAGGCCCTATGAATGTAAGGAATGTGGGAAAACCTTTACTAAATTGTCAAGCCTCAAAGCACATAGAAGAATCCACAGTGGAGAGAGGCCCTATGAATGTAAGGAGTGTGGGAAAGCCTTTATTCGATTAGAACACCTCACAAGACATAGAAGAATCCACAGTGGAGAGAGGCCCTATGAATGTGAGGAGTGTGGGAAAGCCTTTTTCCGAGCGTCAGCCGTCAGAACACATAGAAGAATCCACAGTGGAGAGAGACCATACGATTGTAAGGAGTGTGGGAAAGCCTTTGTTCAATTAGAACACCTCACAAGACATAGAAGAATCCATAGTGGAGAGAGGTCCTATGAATGTGAGGAGTGTGGGAAAGCCTTTGTCCAAACGTCAACCCTCAGAACACACAGAAGAATCCATAGTGGAGAGAGGCCATATGATTGTACAGAGTGTGGGAAAGCCTTTCTCCGAGCGACAAACCTCAGAACACACAGAAGAATCCACAGTGGAGAGAGGCCCTATGAATGTAAGCAGTGTGGGAAAGCCTTTCGCCAATCGACAGTCCTCAGATCACATAGAAGAATCCACAGTGGAGTGAGGCCCTATGAATGTAAGGAGTGTGGGAAAGCCTTTACTTCATCCACAGAACTCAATGCACATAAGCGAATTCATACTGGAGAGAGGCCCTATAAATGTAGGGAATGCGGGAAAGCCTTTCTCCAAGCATCAAACCTCAGAAAACATAGAAAAATCCACAGTGGAGAGAGGCCCTATGAATGTAAGGAATGTGGGAAAGCCTTTCTCCAAACATCAACCTTCAGAACACACAGAAGAATCCACAGTGGAGAGAGGCCCTATAAATGTACGGAGTGTGGGAAAGTCTTTATTCAATTAGCACACCTCACAAAAAATAGAAGAATCTACAGTGGAGAGAGACCTTATAAATGTAAAGTATGTGAGAAAACCTTTGATAGTTACTCATCCCTCTATAAACATATACAAACTCATAGTCCATAGAGGTCCCATGAATGTAAGGTATGTGGGATGGCCTTTAAAGATTCCTCACACCACATTACACATATGCACACACAGTGGAGACCTGCTTTAATGAGTGTACACAGTGTGGGAAAGTGTACACTCATTGGTGACTGACAGGTAGTTTGTTAATCTTGAGAGGGAGCCCTCAGTTGTAATGATGGCTTGAGGATGGTTGATTTGGCCTTGGCCTCTGTTGTGCTTCCTCCAGACTTTAGTAAAACCATCTTGGAAGCACAGCTTTCTCACTGCCCCATTTCAGTAGGAGAGTGGCCGGAGACCACATCCTCTGTCTGGGGTGCAGATGGTCTCCCAGCACCTTCCCTGGTCTCATCCATGCTTCCTGCCCATCACAATGCTTTGCAGCCCTGTAGTACCTCTATCTCCTGGAAGTTTGTGAGAAATACAGAATGGTGATTTCCAGGGTCTCTAAGCAGAGTCTCCGCCATTGCAGCGTCCTGCCCTCCACCAGCGGCACACTCGTCCCCTTTTTGTTTGCACTTGGCTTGGAATTAAAATTCCACCTGTATATGTGACTAGTGTTGCAGTCTGGAATGACGCCAAAATCCTGTCACAACCCCCCACCCCCCCCAATGCCTTAGCCCTGACTCTCCACCATCCTTCTTCCATTTCAGCTGTGTGGTGTGGTCCTGAGGCAGGTGGGAGCTGTGTGTGAGGGGGGGGTTTGGCGCCCATCTTGCACACCCCCTAAGTTATCAGGAAGGACGTCAGGTATTCTGACTGTGTGTGCAGACCACACATTAAGCATTTGCTCCCAAACTGCCCAGAGCTCAGCTTTCCCTTCAGACCTTCTTTCTGAATTGACCTTTGGTGATAGTGTCCTAGACCCCCATAAGGAGGAACAAAGAAATGGTGAGTTTTGTAGGGATTTGGGTATGACTGGGAATTTAACTGATGGGAGTGGGTTTGGGTTTATTGACAA